CTCTATTTGTCTTCCTAATTGCTTTTGCCATTTTTCTTCCATTCTTTCTTGTAGTTGTAATTGTTTATCATTTTGGTGTTTTATCAGTTCTACCAAAATATTTTTAAAATCTTTCATGATAACTCAATTTTACGTATTTTTACTCCTCGTAACTGTTTGTTGCTAATTTGTTGTGAACGAGGGAAGGATTTTTCTATTTCTTCTTTTCGTGTGAGTTCGAATAGCTCGACGCCAATTTGCTTGTTGGACGACGAGGGAAGATTTTTCTTTTGTTGATTTTTTCTTTTCCGCATGAGTTCGAATCTTCGTCGCCAATTTGTTGTGGATTCCGAGATGACATCCGGTCACCAATGAATGACAAACGCAGGAATGAAATAGGGCAAATAAATGTATTTACACAATAATACAATTGGTAATACGGTTAGTAAATCCAGAAACGCGGTTAGTAGCAATAATAACATATATATACAGTCTGGAAAATTAGTCTCGAAGTAGGACTTCCTTAGAGTCTACGTGCTTGTAACTGTGACTTGTACAAGCGGTTACCTCACACTATTACTCTACCTCCAACTCAATCACAATCTCTGCTCTGATTGACTCTGGGTATTTAACGGCAGCAGTCCAAATACATACTGGTCGAGTCCACTTGTATGAAAAAGGGGTGGACCCCATAACAATATATATATATATATATATATATATATATATATATATATATATATATATATACTCGACTCTCCCGTTGAATTCGACATATGAGGATCAAGCAGACCAGTTCCTAGTGTGGCAGGGGTGATATCACCCTTGAAAAAATACTAATAATTATAATAAAGGGGGATATGCTGTAAAACAGAAAACACCAAGTGAAAGAGATGTTAATATGCTGTGAGGACTTTGAAATTTAAATGTTACAGAAAGTTAATTTAGAACACGAAATACAATCTTTTTGTAAGTGTACAAAGGATATCAGATTACTAATAGAAAATTACTGGAACAATGATAATTTGAAACTTTTAAAGAAAGGAATGGATTTTGACACTATAAGAATCGAAGTTAAACTTAATAATGTTTTGATCTAGAATTTACTTTTAAAACAAGAATCTCTGTAGTTTACACAAAACGAACGGCAGATTGATTGATAGCGAGGTGATAAACAATTGTGTTTTGTTGTGAACCTTAGAAATCAATCGATGAAAAGGTAAATTGTTTATTCTCGGGGGAGTGAAGTTGCACTTTGGTAGTATGTCAGTATGTTCGCACTAGAAAAACAGATACCAATCGGAGCATAGAGAGTTTTTGGGTTCGTCTATCTTCGAATACAGTCGAACTGAGTGGAGAGACGTCAGAGATTGAAAAGGAAGCGCCCGCTGTGTGTTACTGAAGCTGAGGGCGAAGAAGCGAAATGTCGCCGCTAACATCTAAGTACCGCTACTCCTGCTACTACTAATGCTACTACTACTCTTACTATAAGTGAGAACGGGAACATCGAAGGTTGTAGTAGTTGCGCTAAGGACAGACCATAAACGGTTAAAACGAAGGCCACATCTCTCCTTTACCGAAATATTTCGAAGTATTTGTGTTTGTTTGGTTATTGTTCACATACAAGAAACATTCAACGTAGTGTAACAAGAAATATTATTTGTGTGTGTGTGTGTTTGCTTTTATATATCGAAAAAAACTTTTGTCGTTTCAAAATCGAATCGACTTGGTTATATTTATTTTTCTGTCGGATTCTCACCCGACAAACTCGATTCTCACCCGACCAAAGGAGAACTTCCGGATTTCTACGATCAGATGACCACTCTCCAGAATCAAAACAATCACAACGTGGCTGGAGGGTGGCTTCGAATTGACATTGGGAACCGTAGACCTGTGTCTAACCTGTAATACTGGACCATACCGGCCGGTCTTGTGGGGAGCGTGGGTTCATTGGGGTGAGGATACGTTGTTACACTAGAAAACCGACAGCCCGACACCAGCACATGAGATTTGATTATAGTGATGAAGGTTTCGTGCAGGACCATCCACACTTTTTGAAGGGCCGAATGCAGAGACCTGGTGCACTACGTGCCACAAGGTTCCCAAACAAGCATCCGCAGGTTTTGAATTCAGAGTTTTCCTTCTCCTACACCAGTTGCCATCCAAGGCTATAGAACCCAGTCTGTTCTGCTATTTACTCATGGCTGGAGGGAGAAGAAGAGGATTCATACCTTGTTACTTAGCACGTAAGTGAATGTAATGAATTCGACTGGAATTCGAACTCGGCTCTCCGATTCCTCAATCCAAGCCGCTATCCATTACTCCACCGTGCCTCCTGTATATATTTAGAGAGAGAGAGAGAGAGAGAGAGAGAGAGAGAGGACAATAAAAGAACAGGTATTAAGAAGACAGGAGATAAACGACTGACATTGCATTTGATTTTTGAAGATTAACCTAGATTGAAAAGTAAGATGCCGGAAGGGAGTTCCACAAGGGAGAAGTACGAGAGAAGAAACTCTTAGCATAGAACTTACAGTTACATCTAGCAAATTATTCTATAAAATGATGAGACCTAATTGCCATTCTAGTACGACGATTAAATTCGTAAAGTTGAGAACACTAAAGTGAAAAGCTCATCAGAATCAATACCAAGAAAATAGTTGCAGAAAATGTAAAGAGAAACTTTATTATGACAGTGTGAAAGTAACCGAAGCCGAGATGCCATATATATATATATATATATATATATATATATATATATAAAAAACAGAGAGAGGCATGTAAGAATGCAACTTCAGTGGAACATAAATAAAAGACGACCTAACCAAAATATTACGCTGCATGCACCAAATTTTATGATTCTCCGTTCTTGAAAATTGTTAAGTGAATAGAAAATGATGAAAGGCGGTTTTGTTACAAAAAATATTTTCATGATTTTCTCATTTGAACCTGTGTAGAACTTTTTAAAAAGTTTACTCATTTTTTCTTTTGAATATAATAGGTTTTCTTTATATTATAATTTTTTCTCAATTACTAGACGCACAAGTATATGTTTTTGTTAGATTTTATTATAAACTTAATAATATTGGTTTTCACCAACTGGGGTTATTAAAATTTTCAAGATATACGTAAATTTATATGAGCCAGCCACATATAATGCAAGTTTCAGGTGATAACATATTTTTTTTAATATTGATAATTTCTTTCGGAAATGTCAGGTTTTATTATTGAAATAAAAGGCAACAATTTTTTTAAATCTATAAATAAATCCAAAAGCTATAGAGCATAAAACCTAGATTTGATTGACACGGTATTCCATAGAATTGAATAGACTATTTTGTTATCAGTTTCCAAGCATTGATTTGTTAATTCTTTTATTTCAAATTGAAAGCTACTTGCAACAGTTTTATTGCTTCCGAAATATATTCTTTGCATGAATATTTTTCTATGCTCTTATATACATTTCTCTTTTAATGATGGACTACAATTTTTATTGGATTAATAACAAAAGAAGTTAACAGCCATTTCAATAATTTTTTTTTTTTTTTTTTGGCAAGGTGGGCAATACTCAGCTTTACAAAATATGAAGCAGAATTATGGCGCATACTCTCTAGTTTAAAACTTCTTGTTTGTGACCTCTACCCACTCAAAAGCATCTTGTCCAAAAAGAGGAGACATATTTTCTTTGAGATTTCCCGGACATTCAGGCTGGTAAATGTAATTAATAATGTAGCATTTACTTAAATATTTGTATCTATAAAAATAACGTATATTAAAATAATTGTCGAACTTAGTCCATTTCATAATATACAGGGTGTCCATAAAGTTCGTGTGCATTTAAAAAAATTATAACTTTATTTGTATTTGTGATAGAAATAATCTGTAAAAAATGTTATAAAGTTTAATGTACCTAGTTTTAAGTATAGCTAAAATAACTAATGTGATTTCAGGCATTACTGTAAATCAGTTGGCAAATGTATTCCGTGAACTGTAAAATCGTATTACCCTTTGTATTGATAATGATGGAGGACATGTGGAAACTTAAATAAAATTTCAATAAAACCTTAAAAAATACAGATTTATTTCTTTCTAATCCCTTTTACAAATTATTTCTATCGCAAATACAAATAAAGTTAAATTTTTTTAAAGCGCACACGAACTTTATATATATATATATATATATATATATATATATATATATATATATATATATATGTAATAGATCCTAGTAATATTATATATTAAAACTTATCCACAGAGAGAGCTCAGTGTATTTATTATAACAGAGCATATATATTACACAGCAAAAATCCCAAATTATCTCATGTGGGTGTAGTCTATTTAAAACTGGCACAAGCTTATGCTAGTCTTCTTCAACCTTAGACTTGAGACAGAGAATTATTAACTTCCACAAGTCAGGAAATAGTTATAGCACTATTTTAAACCGGTTAGCTATCCTTAGATTTACGGTACAGTACGTTATAAAGAAACGATCTCTCACGACAGAGAATTTGACTGGGTCTTGTCTTGTCTTGATGCGGCATTCACCCTGGGCGGATTGAGCCGGCTTCTTCCTGTTGACGCACCGCATCACGGACCTTTGCTGCCCACGCCCGTCGGTCTGTCGCGAGGTCGCACGAGATGGTAAGCCAGTCGCGGTTCCAGCGGCGGAGGCCGACCACATGCGGGCCGGAAAGTAGCGCCAGATCCTCCTTGATCGTTGAGGCCCACGTCTTCAGCTGTCCGCCTATCCGCTTCCGCCAGGTGGACGGCGGTGTGGGAAGGAGAACGTCCCGTATCAGCTCCCCTCTCGACCGGCGCGCAGCGTGTCCGAACCATCGGAGACGCCGTTGAAGAAGGACTGCGGGCAGAGGGCGTAGGCCGAGGCGGCGGCGGAGCTCAGTGGTAGGGACCCGGTCGACGCGTCGGCAGTGCAGGATGCGACGGAGGCAGTCGTTGTCGAACACCTCCAGTTTGCGCTGGTCAACCACCCTGAGCGGCCAGGTTTCACAGGGTCTTCAATGCGGTGTGGACCACGGAGACTGTTCCTGATGATTGGGGCCACGCTGTTTTGCTGCCATTCTTTAAGAAAGGTGACAGGAAGGTGTGCTCCAACTATCGGGGAATCAGTCTGCTCGATGTAGCGGCCAAAACCTTCGCAGTTCTGCTTCTGAAGCGATTCCAGACGGCTCGAGACGCCCGCACGCGTCCCACCCAATGTGGCTTCCGCCCGGGGAAAGGGTGTGTGGATCAGATCTTCAACCTGAGACGCACACTCGAGCAGCGCTGGGCCTACCAACAACCAACGGTCCTGTGCTTCATCGACTTCGCAGCTGCGTTCGATTCGGTCGATCGAGATGCACTGTGGAAACTTATGCTGGCGGACGGCATCCCTGTGAAATTGCTTCACCTTATCCAGGAGTACTATCGAGCCACGCGGGTGCGGGTCTACGGTGAGGAATCGGAGCCCTTCGACGTCAGGTCCGGAGTCCGACAGTGATGTGCCCTCTCACCCACCCTCTTCAACTTTGCCATCGACTTCATCCTCAACACTGCCCTCCGCGGCTACTCAGGTGTGTCGGTCGGTAGAGATGTAGAGGTGTCGGACTTAGCCTATGCCGATGACATCGTCCTTCTGGGGTCCTCGATTGCAGACGTCGAAAGTGTTCTCGAAAGAGTTCACAACGCGGCCCGCTCTGTGGGTATGCGTATTAATGCATCGAAGACCAAGGTGCTTTTCTCCCTAGTCCCACCAGAAGCCCAGCGCCCCATCTCGCTGGACGGTGTCAACCTGGAGGTGGTCGAGTCGTTTGTCTACCTAGGACCGGCTGTGGTTGCATCCGGACAAGGAGTGTTTGAGGTGGAACGTCGGATGGGCGCGGCGAGATCTGCTTTCGCCCGTCTCCAGCGCTGCCTGTGGAACCGGAGAGAGGGCGGATCTTCCAGGCGATCATTCGCTCTATCCTCCTATATGGGTGTGAAACCTGGCCGCTCAGGGTGGTTGACCAGCGCAAACTGGAATTTGACTGGGCGTGGAAGAAAACCCAAATTGTCACCGAGAACTCCGCGGAAACTGTGTCGCGAGGTTAATATAAATCCAAGAGTTGTTTTGAATAACATCGCCAAAAGTTATCAAAAGATATCAGCGTAAGTACAAGCACAATACAATGTTGTTTAAATAGAAATGAGTTGTATGGGAAGCGACCACAACGATCCCCTCTTCACAAAACATGTCACATTTTTGCTCGGTTTAATTTTGCCAAAACGTTCTTGGACAAAGAAAATTGCTTTTAGGAACAAGTATTATCGAGTGATGAAACAAAAATTGATGTAAAGAAGATTTGGCACAAGAAAGGTGAGACTTTCCTTCCAAAGAACACAGTGGCAACATTAAAACATGGAGGCGGCTTGGTGATGTTTTGGGATTGTTTTAGCTCCAGCGGGACTGGACAAATAATTGCAATAAGAGGAATAATGAAATTCTGGATAAAAATCTACAACTATCAGCGCAAAATCCTCATCTAAGTCAGCGATTTACTTTTTAGCAAGATAATGATTCCAAACGCACGTCTAAATCAGTGACTGCGTGGCTTCAGAAAAAGAAGATTACAGCTCTGCCAAGGCCTTCAATGAATCCTGACTTGAATCCTATTGAAAATCTATGGCAAGACATGAAAGTTCAAATAAATCGTCGGTCGCCAAAAAACCTTCAGGAATTAGAACGTGTAACCATTGAGGAATGGAAGAAAATCCCAGAAAAGACTTTTTCAAATCTCATCAAAAACTTTAGAAACCGATTGCAGTAAGTTCTAAAGATGAGAGGCCATCCTATTGACTATTAGTATTGTGAAAATTCTTCAGTTTTTTCGATTTTTCATACTGTACGAATAATTTTGTCTTTTCCTATTTTACATAATTTGCATGTCAATTTGTTGTATTTAACATATTGTTTTGAAAATTCACTTTTAAAATTCCTTTTTCGGGCTTATTAATATATTTTTTAAAAAAAACTGGGATCATACGGGCATTAGATTCTGAAAAATGGATCAAAATATTCAAAATTGATGGCTGTACGAATAATTTCGTCGTTGACTGTATATATATATATATATATATATATATATATATATATATATACACACACACGCACACATACATACATATATATATATATATATATATATCAAGGCGTGTTTTAAAATATCACCATCAAAAGCATCACTAAAATATTAGTCAACTCCTATTCCCCATTCCCCCCCGTGACCCCAATGTGCATAGCTAACACAAGAAAGGAATAAGACATGGTCTGATGATTGCTTAAAGCGTGAAATTGACTGTCACCAAATAATCTTTATTTACAGGTCGACTCTGTTTATATCTAATCATATATATATATATATAAATATGAACATATATATATAATATATACATGATATATCACATGTAAACTTTAGTTAATTTTTCTTCATTATGTATAAGAAAAGCGATGTCTGGATCGGTTGAATGTAAATAATGTAATAACAATCTAATATGAATAGATTAATAAAGTGGACATCTTACCGTGGAGCAGTTGTCAGAAAAACCATTGTTAATATAGTGAGTCAAATCCATGCTGAGATTTTACTTTCGGGTAATGGTTGTTAGCACGTTGGCCAAACACGACAATCAGAGCGAATTCAGTTATCGTTATCCTTTTAAATGTCATTCTCTTTCTGTTAATATCTCTACCATTGACAAGTTTATCTATCTATCGATTACATTCTGTTCATATCTATCTATCTATCTATCTATCTATCTATCTATCTATCTATCTATCTAAGCCAGTGCTTATATAACTATCTCAGTCTGTTCCTATCTATGTATCTATCAAGCGATGTATCTATTTCAGCCAGTTCATATCTATCTATCTCTATATATTGTACATTTCTATCTATCTATCTATCTATCTATCTGCAGGGTAAGGGTTCTATTTCCACCTGTTCATATCCATCTCATACTGTTCATTTATATCTATCTCAGTTTGTTCATATCTATCTATCTGTTGATCGATTTATCTCTCTATCAATATATCTAAGAATATATATATATATATATATATATATATATATATATACCTCATTTTGTTCATATCTATCAATAGACCGATTTATCCATCTCACTATTGTTCTGTCTATAGATCTATCTCACACTGTTCATATCTATAAATCTATCTGTCGATCTATCTACCTCAATCTGTTCATATATATATATATAATTTTTTTGTTGTACGAGTAAACTCAGTCAATGAGGCATGAACTAAATTATTCAATAAATAGAGTAATGTCTCGATTGTTATCCCGAAATTTGCACGTCGGGTCATTTTATTTAAATCAAATATGTGGTGCAGTTCAATTTATATTACAATGAATCATTCATACAAAAAGTAGATTAGTAAAGTTAATGATATAAAATGGCGAAATACCTTCGCTAACAAAATTTTAAAGATGCATTCACCTACAAATCACAAATTCAATCTTAGCGTTGGGACTACACGCTCCAAAAGTTTGTATCCGTTAATAATGACACATTTAAAATAAACATATTTCGATTCGAATTATATTTTCTCGTCTCGAATGCAACCTGAATTTTACCAAAAACAAAATAATTTCCATGCCTGAAGATGACTGAATGTACAGTCGAAAGTACTTGCGTATTAAAGAAAGACCTTATACAGCTTATAATTTTTTAAAATAAGGATCATAACATTCATCGAGTGATTTGTAGGTCAATGCACCTTTGAAATTTTGTTAGCGAAGGGATTTCGCCATTTTATATCATTAACTTTACTAATCTACTTTTTGTATGAATGATTCATTATATATATATATATATATATATATATATATATATATATATATAATCAGTCTGTTCATATCTGTTTGTCTATCTATCTCATTCTGCTCATTTCTATCTATCTATCGATCTTATTCTGTTCATTGGTATCTAACTATCTATCTTAATATCTATCTATCTATCTATCTATCTATCTATCTATCTATCTATCTATCTCGGTCCGTTATTTTTTTCTATCTATCTCTCTCTCTCTCTCTCTCTCTATATATATATATATATATATATATATATATATATATATATATATATTTTTGTGTGTGTGTGTCTGTCTATCTCAGTCTGCCTATTTATATCTATGTATTACATTCTGTTCATCCATCTATCTATCTATCTATCTATCTATCTATCTCAAATGAGTCAATTCATATCTATCTATCAATCTATCTCAGGATGTGTGGCTGGTGTAATGAATGGTAGCTGTGAATTAAATAATCGGAGAGCCGAGTTCGATTTTCAGCCAGTTTCGTTACATTAACTTACGCACAAATAATCATAGGGAAGGTATGAATCTCTATCAGTCTCCACCAGCTATGGATTAAATAGTAGAACTTTTGTGTGAAAAAAACGAATTGTTATTTTCAAACATTTTTTAATGCCGTATTCCCTTGCATTAAAAAGAATTATTCTTAGAATCCAAAATATGTTTCAACTTTAAATACTCTGATAATCTGTAAAAACAAATCTATCTATCTATCTATCTATCTATCTATGTCTCTTTCTATCTGTCTATTTATCTAACAATTGATAGATCGATCTCAGTATGTTCATCATATTTGTCGATCTCATTATGAATCAATTTTTAATCTCTCAGCAGCCTCTTCATATCTGGCCTTTTTTCATCGCAATCTTTATTTTTTCCATCTCTTTCAACGTAGAAATCCATGTTGTTATTCTTGTTTCTCTTTATATTTTCCAATACCAACAAGCAAACTTACATGTCCTTAGTTCTTTCTGTTTTCTAGTCCCTCCTTTTATGAAACAACTCTCCTTTCCTCCTCCTTGCTCTCCTCTCTACTTTTGTTCACTCTATTTAGACATCTGACTAATTCATAGCAAAGACTATTTGACATTTCAAACAGAAAATTGCATCGAAGGTGTCTCCAACCTCCCCGCACGCACACCGAAATGTGGTCATCAGCTAATTAACTGAAACCTTTTACAATGTTGTCTTCCTAATGTTTTTCATCTAAGCAGCAACAATATAGCGTCATCTTTTACAAGATTAATTTCTATTTGAGTTAGTCTTTTGTAATTATAGATTGTATAAACGATCGATAACCAATCAATTGATTATAATTTTTTTTCATCTGCACTCTGACCGAAACTCTAAAGATCAAGTTGCAAAATAGAATTGAGTTTAAATGAGAGGAAAAGGTTTTGAGCTACAGTTCACAAGGAAAGGCAGAAGATTGTTAGCCTGTGATTCCTTCTATCGATGACCTCGTGTCATTATGAAGCAGGCAATGTTCACGTGATTCAAATGTCTGTAATAGTAAAAGCCGAATGATTGATCAACTGAAAGTAGAAATCAAAGTTGAAATGACGTCCAATCAAGGGATGTTGTTTCTAGAAACCCTGGTCGCTATTTGTGAAAGAGAGGTCAGAGATGGACGACAAATCCCAATAGATTATGGATTGTAGCAGCCAGTCACACAATGGTTATAGCAACAGGAGTTGACTTTTGGGGACTAATTAAATCTTAATTTGCTAAAGCTTCATGTTGAATTTCTGAACAAATTATTGAGGTTTAAACATTTCGTCCAACTGCAATTCGAGGAAAACGGCGAAAACATTTAAGCGAAAAAAATGAAAAAAGACTTCGTCCAATAATGTTTTGCTAGAGAGTATGTGGGTTATCTCAATTGGCTTTGCCAAAATGCGTTAGAGGGCGCTCTTGAAGTCTATCAAAAGGCAATCATATTCTCTCTCTCTCTCTCTCTCTCTCTCTCTCTCTCTCTCTCTCGCTCTCTTTCTCTCTTTTTTAACTCATGCTTCCAGATGCAGTCGCACTATAGGTAAAGTGTCTCCTAATGAGACAGGTTCATTTTTATGCTCCTCTCTCATACACACACATACACACAAGTGTCTATCACACACAAGCAGAGTCTCATAGCTAGTTCCAATATTTTTCCCTTCATTTCAATTGTGTACACATGTAATTGCTTTTGTTAATAACATGCATTGTCGTTTGTTTTATATTCATTGTTTTGTGTTATATATTTTTACCCGGACTTACATGAGTCCGCCAATATTGTTTGCTGGATAAATGTTCCAAGAGCTCATAAATACTTAATATACACAACGTGAATACATTCATATCCAAAGTGTTGATTACCCACAACAAATTCGGGGTTTATTTCTACCCAAACATAGTAGTATCGCTCAACAAATATTTGAAAAAAATAACAAAGTTTTTTTCGTAATTGTAGTTAAACTCAAATAATAATGAGAACAATAAGAACGCCTTCAAAATAATAGGAACGGAGTTAAAATAATGAGAACGGCGTCAAAATGATGAGGATAGAGGTCAATACAATAAAAATGGCGTCTGAATAATGACAATGACATAAAAATAATGAGAATGTATAAAAACAGTAATAATGGCGTCAAAACAATAAGAATGGCATAACAACACTGAGAATTTTGTTAGAATAATGAGATAAAAAAATAAGAATGGCGTCAAAATAATGAAAATGGCCTTCAAATAATGAGAATTGTGTCAAAACAATAAGGATGGCGTCAAAGTAATGAGAATGGCGTCAAAATAATGTGTTGTTTTAAACATTCTAATAAAAGCAATAGAAATGAATTAGTACATACTAGTGTGCACAAATATTCCATTATTATTATTATTATTATTATTATTATTATTATTATTATTATTTGCCTTTGGTTTGTTTATTACGAGATTTTCTGACTGTCTTTATCAGAAGATTCAAGATTCAAGATTCAAGACGTCTTTTCAGAAGAAAATACAAACAGATGAGGCGCCATGCAATCAGAAAAAAAGAAAGATAATTGTTATCATTGCATGGAGAGAAATCTTCGCAAGATGTGAGATATTCCCATAAGTAATTTCTTTTATAATTCACATTGTTGAGGTCTGCCACGATCCATATATATGTTTGTTCTTTTTCATATAATAACTAGAGCCTTCAAAACAAAAACTAATATTGTTGTCTTGTGATACCAGATTCTACTGATTTCTATCTCGAGGTCCCTATATTTACTTAGTTTCCCAAACATTTTCAAAAAAGATGGGTTTGTTTTCAGTTGGGTTTGCCACATCTACTTGAAGATACGTGTTTCCAATATGATTTTCGCAATTATTCTTATCGATCTGGCCCGATTTCCCAATCTGTCTAAACAGAGCATTCTAAAGGAGGACAAACTCTTCATTTTATACCAGTGGCTTTTATCCCCAATAATTGTTTTTGAAAGAGAAGATGGATGCGAGACATATTAGCCAATCGGCCACACCCAGATATTATATCGACAGTTGTCTTCGGATCTTGTCTACAGATGCCGTAGGATGGGCGCCTGCTGTTATGTTACAGGGCATTAATAGTTGCTGGTTGGAAAGCATCGATTATAAACCCTTCATTTTGTGAATTGAGACCAAAATCTGAGTGGCACTGATGGGTAAGAGTTGCATCTATTTCAAGATCTCTGGTATTGATAGAGTATTTACTGTGCAAAGGTTGTTTTTTTTTTCTCTCATTTTTCCATAGTGTTTTGAAAACTAGTTTGTTTTGTGACATTTTTATTTTTCCTTTTTCATTTGGGGATGCATTTTCATTTGTTTCTGGTCGATAAATCTGCATTTATGCAAATGGTATTTTCTTGTTTTCCGGTGGAGAGTGCATTTTTTTTTTACCATCTTGTTTCAGAACCAAGTTCAACATGTAGTCATTTGTTTACTGAAAGTAAGCAAAAAGACCTATGGGTGTAGTTGTCAATAATAGTTGCAGTTGAATTAATACTCAACCACCTTCTCTTCTTGGAAGGTACCAATCGTTCAGTGTTTGATTTGGTTGGGGGTGTATGCCACGCATTGTTAGAAGCTTTTGTTTTTTACATCAACTTTGTTAATCTCAGAGACGGACCAATTAGTAATATTGAAGCTGTAAGTGAATATCAATATGGCGAATGTGTTTATAACTTCAATTCTGTTTCTGTCATTCAACACTCTTTTCATAATCACACTTACTTTGCAATATCTCTCCTTCATATTTTTCTCTCACAAAAGAGTTTTTAATTCCTTTTCCTTCTAAATGAAATCAATAATTATAACTCCTCTCATCTTTTAATTTGTTTCTTTCAATATTCCTATCTAGAGTGAGATTGCGGCTGCTTGATAGTTTTTCCTTGAGAAACGTCGCCTTGGCACAATTGTCATGCCAAAATTCCATTTGCAATTGGTTATCATTTTTTGCAAAACATTTCAGGTCGTCAGTGTAGAGAAGATGATTCGTAGTTTTTCCAGACACTTTATATCGATAGTTTATTTCTTTCGGGAGTTTGTTTAGGAGAATTAGTGACAAACAAAACAACAGAGAAGATCATAAGTCCCTTTGAAAGATTCTACATTTTATATTGACATTTCCAGAATTTAAGGTTGTATTTTTCGTGTTTATGTTGAATCTTCTTTTTACAAGGCACATGATAAGAAATTTCTGATTATTGGTATTTTTTTAAATTTGAAAACCATTAAATCATAAGCACCACAACCAAAGCATGAGGTTAAGTACAAAACAACACCTGGCCCAGTGTCGGATCCTTTGGTTACGGCGCCAACGGTGACGTCGCTCCTCCTGGTCGCTCCTCCTGGGTCCAAGCGTGCCGCTCCAACCCTTTGGTCAGATGATCACCAGCCTCGCCTTTCCCGACTCGCTTCCAATACCTGGTCACTAAAGCAACTATACCGATCTCCGGTCTGTCTACCCACGCTGTGTTTAGATCTTAGACAGACGGGACCAGCAGGGATCGGGGCCGATACAAGTTGAGTCCGACGGGGTGGCAAAACACAAATAAAATAAAACTCACGACACCAAACAAAATTGCTGATAAAAAGGGTAACAACCTTTTATATCTTAAAGTCCGTTACATAAAAACAAAATTGTTCTCAATTCCCGACCCGCTCTGTGGACTATGGCACCAAGCTTCTATCACACAATAGGAAAATGTCGAATTACCTACTTTCTAGAATCATGTATGTATGTCGGAGTGTGGTTCAGTTCGACACTGGGGCTAATTTCTATCGATCATTCGCAGTTGATTCTTCTCTCCGACTTGAGTTGTATTTCTTCTTCTTCTTCTGTTTAGACTGGTAGATTTCTTGTTTCAACCCAGTGGAAGATTTCTTGCTTCGATTCAGTGGAAGATTTCTTGCTTCGATTCAGTGGAAGATTTTTCTTCAATTCAATTCGGTGGAAGATTTCTTGTCTTCAACTTGGGCTGGAAGGATTTCTTGTTTCGAGGATTCTTCTGTCGTCCGAGGGTGAACTGCAACTCACGCCCAACCTAACTCCAACTTCAACTCAACTTCAGCTCCAACTCTTCTCAGGTTTTCAGGCAATCTTCTTCTTCATCTACTTGGGCTGGAAGTTCTTCTGTCTTCGACTTGGGCTGGAAGTCCTTCTGTCTGAGGGTTCTTTTGCCCGCAAAGGGGGGCGAGTGAATCGGGTCTTATGTCCGCGTTCAGGATCTTCCCCTGCCCGCGGTCCCTGCAACTCAGCCCAACTCCGGCTGCATCTCCCCAAACTTCTTCTCTTCGGCTGAATTATTGTTCACTCATCTCTGTCAGTGCGCGACTCAAACTTAGGCCAAACGGATTTCTTGTCGCCTGCAGGGCTCAAACTCCTTCTTCATCCGAGGCGCAGCTCCAACTCAAACTGATTTCTGTCGACTGGGGCTTATATTGACGCCGCAACAAACTGGGGTGGGTCTGTCGGCGTCAGGGGTTTTCTCGATAATTTCAAAAGTCGTATTAATTTTGACTTTCCATTATCGTTATTGTTTTCACCCCTACTTTCTCACAGAGCTCTTGGTGGGGCGGCGCATATCTATTTCTCTTAGTCTCTCTCTCATGTCAGGTGATCGCTCTCAACCAATCGTTCCCGATCGAACCTTTCTTTCTCTTCTTTTCCGCAGCCCACGTGACCGCCTCGTCCAACAGTTATTGATCGAGGTTTTCTTTCCTTCTTCTTCCGCGGTCACGTGATTGTATTCGACCAATTGTTATTGACCGAACACCCTCTCCCTTTTGTTGGCGGGTGTGGTTACCTCGTGCTGGTTTAAAAAAAAAAACAAAATCCGATTTCGCACCTTTTTGCACGTACGCAAAATGACAATCTTTAGCTTTCTTTCACCTGGACTTTGTCAAACAGCCCGCTGCTAATTAGTCTTGACTTTAGAAAAGGTTCTTTTCCGCCTTCTTGGCGCCCTCTGTGGTCCAAAAACAATTGCTCTTCTTTTTTACTTCTTTGTTTTACCTGATAGTCGAAAATCTTAATTATCTAGGTCGAAATATCTCTACTTTCTTAACGTGGGTGTCCAATTCTTAACAGGTCAATTCCGTATATCGTTTTCACCAGTCACTTCCCCAACCCAAAGACACTTTCTCTCAGATCACAAATTTCGTTTCTATTGTTCAAAAGAAAAAAAATAAAAATTTCTCTTCACTCCAAATTGATAAGGGGTTTTCCACGCAAGAGTCGGTCAGAGGCCTCTGACCGACATCTGGTCGATATCATGTCTTTTTCCCTTTCTTTCTCTTTTATTATTTCCAATTCTATTCTTCCCTTTGTTTAAAAAAAAAAATAAAGTCGACCACACGCAGACCTATCTCTACCATCAACTGGGTCATGCGTCATACATTTCTCTTTCTTTCTTTTTCTTTTCTTTCCTTCTTCTTCCCTTAGGATCGTCTTAGGATAGTACATTCTTAGTGAATTATTTTCAACTCAGTTATTTTCCGTTTAAA